GGCAGCAGTGAGTTGGTCTCTTACTTACGTGCATTTTCATTTCGTTAGCTACGGTTGTTGACATCATGACACAGCAGATGATAGTCACCAGGATGAAGTAAAGTGCGTACATGAAGCGGGTGCTGGTTGACTGTTTTATCTTTGGGCAGCATTTGCAGCACAAGGAACAAGCAGCAGTACCACAGCAGCAGGCCAACTGGAAAGTAAGACAAAAAAAAACACAAGTCAAAAAAACACCAAAGAACTCCAGCTTCAGGTTTCTGCTGCAAAAGTTAGAAAAGGAGGCTGGGAGATTTCTTGTAAAATGCCAGAATTTCTCAAGTTCTCTCCTTCCAGCTGAGCAGCATTTAACAGGAAGCAGACAGTCTTGTTTATGAAAAGTCACTACTTTTAAGCACATCAGTGTCTAGCTTTCTCACATTTGCTAAGGATGAGAGACAGAACTCCTTGTATACTTCAGTTCTTTTCTACTCACAACTGAGAGTCCACCAAGACAAAAACTACAAAGCATACCAAAAAGCATGTAATTACCTTATTCAACAAGGAAAAAGGTATGAACAAATCCTGAAAGGAATTTAGCTTGATGCTCATTACTTTCTTGCTGTCAACAGTATCATTAACTTTCAAAGAAGCTGGACTCACCTTCCCTGCCTTCTACTTTTAAAGAAGTGATATATAAAAATATAAATGTAAGCCTTATTTTTATACATTAGGCAGCACTGTCCTTGGCCAGGCCCTTCCTTGCAATAGGCAACAGCTTCATATGGTTTCTGTGCTTAACCCACCAGCCATAACCACAGGAGGGTTTTTGGACACCAACAGGCAGCCATGAGCAGGGAACCTCACTGCTGCCAACCCTGAATAAACTCACCCTGCTGTACTCCCAATTTCAAGGGACTCCCTGTGGCTAGGTATGGTGCCTGGGGCTCGAGCACACCAAGGCTGCTTTTTCCCAGTGTTTCCTGAGCCTCTGGAGGGGCCATGGGAATGTTCAGAGGACCTTCTGCTTTCAGTAAGCAGTTGTACAAGGTGGATTCTTGCTAAGGGATTCAAAATGCACAAGTGCCACCTTTGTGTCATCCAGGCAAACTTCACTGGCTTGTATGTGCCATCAGGTTCCAAACCACCACATGCTATTTTCCCCCCAGGACACTTTCTCTTTCAGCAACAATGACTTGTTTGATAAGGAGGAGGGGGTTTCATGTGTGTGTTTGCAGACACAAATATCTGATATAACTCCACAACCAGAATGACTGATCCAAGAGCCCCAAATCGTTTTGATGAAGTGTCTTTAAAAGACTGACTCCCAGCTTATCATTTCCTTGCCACGACTACCTCTGCAACACTCCAGCTCGGGCTTCCTGCCTTCAGCTCCACAGAAAGGGGGTGGCAGACAGGTCCTTCCCTTGTTCAGCAATGACTCTTCAGCTGGCAGAAGACACAAAATGGCAGCAGTCCAACCCTGTTCCCACACTGCTCTTCTCTCACTTCACCGCCGGATAACATGCCAGAGAAGGGGCCTCAAAGCACACAGCTGCTAAAACTGCTGCTGCTGCGAAACAGAAATCCTCCCCAAAACACAAAGCCCCAGCTGTGGGGAATAAACAGCATGGGCTCATGTTGGCACCAAAGCCAGAAATTAAAAATACTATGTGCAAAAGTACACAGTGCAAGTATGCTTTCAAAATAGAAGGCAGTGGTGGGCTAAATATCAATTTTATTTTTTTACATGTATTGAAATTAAGTTACCTTTTACAGCATCAACACAAGCCTGGGAAATAAGGAAGCTACGTCAAATTACCAATTCAACAAGCAAATGGAATAATAACAATTCAAAACAAATGCATACTAGAAAAGTATAATCCACCCACTTCAGATTTAAGTGGGGGGGAAGGTTAAGACTAAAGGTCCTTTGAACCTGAAAGGATTTGACATCAGTCAGATCCAAAGTCTCCACAATGAACTTCAACTGCTGGCCTTACCATAACATCAAAAACTACAGTACAGAAGTAAATGCAGCTTTGGCATTTGTAAAGGGAACGACATTTTCCTACACCAGGTGCTAGAGAGCTGTGTCAGTAATATCTCATCTACATCCAGCAATATGTCTGCTATTCTACTTCTGGGTCCCTAGAGCTGCTACTTAGAACAACAAATGCTTAAATAGAATTTATAGCTCATTTATGTACTGTTCCACATTACTTAGACTTTAATGATAGTTTCTAATACTGAGCACATACCCTATAAGTTGCAAATTTTGGTCAAAAATACCAGTGTCTTCATCTTTTTCCAGATGCACCTCTTTAAACAGTCTAAGTAGCCATGGAAACCATAGTAAGTTGGTTACAGTATTCAGCCACAGTCCCAAATTTGGTGGTTTGGGTTTTTTTGTGAGGCTTTTTTTTCTTTTTCTTTTTTAAACTCTGGTTGTAACTAAATACATTCTAGACTAGGCCAAGATGAATTAGGTGTTATCCAAAAATAAATGAGAACAGTCTCTGTCCCAAAGAGTAAAATGCTGGTCACATCCTACTGACCAAAGAGGTTTCAAAGATGTTATCTTTGGGTGACAGACTTCAAAGCTCCCATATACAAAGAGTTCTCTATTAAAAAGTTGCAGTCAATGTGCAGCTAAGCTACACAGATCCTCTGATGCTATATGCTTTACTGCAGGTATGGCCCATCTCACTTCACCTCTGCCTTTTGACTGCAGCAATGGTCTTGCCCAGGGGCTCAAAATCCACTTCAGCACTTGAAGCACTTTAAGCCAGTAACAAATTCGCACGTTAAAAAAAACAGGCTGTGAAAAAAAAAGCAAGTAATGTCAAATTTTTTACAGATTTATCTTATAATTAAATAAAAACTCCTCCAATGAATGTGTTCTGCAGAAGAAAGATGCTGTGCAGTTTTTAGGACAGAGACAACCCAAAAACCAGTCAAAGGTCTGTAACCACTGCCAGCTAGCAGGCCTTGAAAATCCACGTCCATACAGCTCCTTTGAAGTCCTCTGATCCTCCCAAGCCCAGGGTCTTCAAAAGCCCAGTGCAATGGCATCTGAAAGCCAGGCTTCTCTGGCAGGAGCTTGTCATGCTGCAGCAGGTTCTGGCTTCAAGTCTGTCTCGTCCAAAGGCTTCCACAAGTCAGGCAACAGCCACCCCAGCCGCCCCTCTATCTTTACATCTCCTCACCAGGTGAACATCACAGTCTGACAACAATTACAAACACTACACAAATATTTATGCTTTCCACAAATCCTTACCACCACCCAGCCCCCTCACACTAACCTCCCACGACTCCAGGTCTCTGTACCATAGACCAGCCACCTGCTTTGTTCAGTGCTACACTTTTGGAGCTCAAGGAAGGTATGGTGCCAGCTTGCCTGAGATCTCAAAACTTGAAATCCTAGTATACTTGAAAACAGACTGCTCCAGGATTTGAACTGCCTGGATGACGGCTGACTTGACTGGTTTCACAACAGCAGCTGTGGAAAGCTGTGTCGGGAACTTTTCTGTTAAAAAATATTCAAAGCACAGTTTCACAGACATTTCTTCTGGTAGCCAGGCTGGCTTAACAGCCCCTATCTCCCCTCTCGTCTGCCAGCCACTCACTCACTCCTACTGCACACCAACACCTCACTAGCCCTGACAGTCCTATCTTGTGGTGGAGGTGACTAAATAAAGCAACCTACTGTCTAAAAAAAAAAAAAAAAGGGTAAGGAAAATGAAAAAAATACATATCAATCCTTTTCAGCTGCTGATACAACAGCAGCAATGGTTCTACTATTTCATGTGAGGGCACAGTGCACGGGCAAGGGAAAAGTACGGGTGAATGTTTTGCAGCTGTCTTGAACGCTTTAACCCTTCTCTGAACAGAAGTTTCAGTGGCATTTTCCTATTGCCTCATTTGACTGGAGTGCAGTGGGTTCATGCCAATGCAGAGGAACTATAACTTTTACATCCACACAGAGAGGAGCAGAAGTAAGCAGACATGTAACAGCCCTAGTTTGTGCAAACCACTCTTCCAAGTACAGGCAGGCCTGGACATATTGCACACTCCCATCGTCCAACAGCCTGGGGAGAACCTGTGGTTAACAAGAGTTAGACAGTTTAACAAAACAGGGTCAAAGCAGGCTTACCAACTTGCACACAAACTGTCGGTTCCCTACAATGAATACTCCACCAACATACCCTTAACATCTGCCACACACTCAAGTCTTTTCTGCAAGCTGTGATCCAATCTGATAAATCAGCGGAACAAGGTATGAAAGTAGTGTTAAGCACATGTAACTGTTCAGACACAAGAGTGAGAAGTAAGTGAACATGCCCTGCCTGCTGCTTTTGTAGAGATAGTGACATTTTAAGAAGGTATTTTCCACATACGTTTCCAAAAAGATCTCAAAGGTCTTAAAAAATACTTTGCTTAATCATTAAAACAAAGTGAAGAGTTTCAGGATCACAGCCCAAAATAGCCTATGGTATTTTTAAATTATACAAACCATTACTTATCACAATAAAGCACTTCCTTTCAGGAGATTTCAGTAGAAATTGTAAAAATCAAAGTGTGATATGCAATAAAGACTAAAGAAGAGATAATTTGCTTATCAACATATATTTGCAACACTGTAACTGCGAACTGTGATATACATATTGATTGTATCATATACATGTACATTCTACGGGTTTTTGCTAAGTGTTTTATATATGGATTTTCTTTCCGTTAAAGCTAAGAGAGTTATCTCTGCAGCCAGTCATAGTTCATGTATTCTTGGACGAACAGGCGCCTAAAGATTTAAAGTTCTAATATATTTACAGCCAAAGCTAAAAGGGTTATCTCTACACCCCAGTTCTAATTCATGTATTCTTGGACTAACAGGCGCCTGGGGATTTGAAGTTTTGCTATATTTCATTCTTAGGATAGTGGGGAAGTTTTGGACCTCTTGACCTTGTGAGGGTCTGTTTTGTTTCTTTGTGGGGATGTAGTTGAGTTTTATAATCCATTTTAACCATAGTGTTATGTTACAATAATTAGTGATATTTTGTTATGTTACCCGTAGATTTTAGAAATATATATAAAATGATACTTAAAGCAATATGAGAGGGAACTAATTACATCAAGAAAAAGACTCGCAAAGAGAACAGAACTATTTCCCAGCGGCAAGCTAGCACATGCGCAGAAGCAGCTGACCACATCAAAAGGATGAAGTGAAGCTAGCCGAGCCTGTCTCCTAGCAACAAGATAACGCATGCGTATAGCTTCTCGGCAACAGAACAGAGCCGGCGCAGAGAGACCTGATGACGTAAAACAGAGGAATCAGACAAAAGGAGGGGACTTTGAAAAAGATATGCAGCTACAAACCTATAAAAGGCAGATTGAAAATTATTGAGGCGTGCCTTGGATGAGCAAGGAAGGCTCATCAAGTCACCCAGCGCTGTTTTGCTTATTTGATTTCATATAAATCTTTAATAAATTTTTTTTTACAATAATTAAACTTAGTGCGGTTTTTACTTATAACAAAAGGGATAAGAGCACAATGAGGAAAAAACCTTCACACTTTAATGAAATGAAGCAGCTATTTACTTCTTCCCTCCTAACTGACAGCCTGGCCAGAGCATCAAGAAGACTGCATGCCTTCCAGCCTGTCCACAGAGCATAGGAATGTGCCTTGCTCAAGCTTCTTTTCATGGGGGCCTAGAGCAGCTTAGTTTTTCATGCAGTGCTTGACTACTTGACTACCAGCATTATCTGGGCCATAAGATTTGCAGATAATGGAGTCACTGAGCTGTTAACAGTGTTTATCAAAAACACCCAAACATCTACTCTCACAGCTACCACAGCATCCAAGCAGGCTGGACAGGCAAAGCAGCTGGCCCTGCATGAATGATATCCTGAACAGGCTACACACTTGTCATTGCTTGGGCTTCTGCTTTCAGGAAAGACTGTCTAGAATTTTGTTAGTGCACTGGTTCATGAAAACAAGAGACATCTGATGCCAGGTGTCCCAAGTGTTAGGAGATGGTCTAAGACCATTATTGAAAACCTACTGCTGTTATGCATATGCATTTTCCATAGGCTTCTTCAACCAGTCACATGATTACACAGTGGTTTGTCCCTCACAAGTAACTAAATTCACCAAAGAGGCCTTATTTTGTCCTTATTTTGTCTGACTTAACTGGCTTTTCACTGCTTCTTATTTAATACTCAGACTCACCACGTGACTTAAGCCAAGAGATTTTGTGACCAACATACCAGTGAATCAACTGATGACCTATTTTAAAGAGCATGTCTCACACTGCAAATTGTGCAAAATTAAAACAGACTTCAGAGAAAAGTCATGCTGGCTCAGATGTTGCCAGAACAATGTTTTTGAGTGAGGGTTTCCTGTCTTGAGGCGAGTTTCCAAAGCAAAGGGCTTGTGCCTTGCACTACAGGGTAGAACTATCATAAGCACCAAGCAGCTCAAAACCTAGGCAATAAAGCAGCATCTAGGACAGGCAGAGGAGGGCTAAAGAGCTAAAATGTGGCCGAGCCACTGCCAGGCACCGGCAGAGCTAAAGTTAAGCTGTAACTGAGAACGATTAGCTTCTGTCTCTGTGCTCAAACATTACTAAGTGGTGACTCAGCTCAGCACTGGAAAATAATGTCACTGCAAAATGTTTACACTCAAGTCTGCCTAACTGCTCTTCTGATAATTTTGGAAAAATCAAGACAATTGTTTGGTCTGACCTGAGCCACACAGTGTATCACATCACCCAGCTACTTAGTAGTATAGCTAGTTTCCATTAGCATAGACCATCTGGATTTGACAGCAGTATGAGGCAGACTGTCCGTCCCTCTGGTTACTCACATCTGCCACTGAAAACAGAAAAAAACCCCTACCTTCTAATTTGTCTGCTACAGTTCTCCAAGCACTGGTTCTTGATGAGGCTTTTTTCACTGGCTTCAATTACCTCGTCTTTTCTCTCTGCTAATCAACACAAAAATCCAAAACATTTACACTCTCTCTCATTTGAAGGCTTTAGGACTTCTCTCAGCATCTAAGTTGCTGAGAGTTTTCTTTCTGCATCCCTTCAAATTTGCCCAGTCCCTCCTAAAAAATCATGTCAGCTCGACTGCAAACAGTCCAGCAAGCCACCTCAGTCCTCCCCCCGAGCATGGAGCTACACTCCATGCTGTGGGAGCTGCCTGCCCTCCACCCACACCTTGTGCAGACAACCACCTAGATGGCTGTACTTACAAAGGTATATTTTATTTACACTGGAGTCATGCCGTCTGGGTTACATCACCTTCAACAGCAGCCTCTGCTCCACCAGCCCTTCCATCACGCCTGTGTGCTTTTGGGAGCAATTTTAAATGCACTCTCAGGCCACTGATACAAACGGAACTGAATGTGAAGATTCTTTGCATTGATCCCTTGACATTCTTCACTGAGAGCACACTCCACTGAGTGACAGGTTCAGCTGCCCTTTCCTATAATTTCATATTTCAGTTTTCTCATCAGCAGGTAGTTTAAACTAATGTTGCAATCACTTCTCTCACTTTCACAGCAGAGGAGCTACTAACAGAGCAACTGGAACATGAAAGACATAGCAGCAATGGCAAAGTCTGACATTTGGGGCCATCACTTCATACCAAGGGCAGATTTTCTCCAGGTTAGCTCTGACGTTCAAGACCAGGACTCTAGAGGAAGAATAGCACACATAGATACAATGTGGTGCATCACCAGGTACAGAGAACAAAATGCAGGGCAGTAACTGCCTAAGTCCATGTACCACTGCAGTGAAAAAGCAGCTAAATGAAATTTTCATGTGCATTGACTCAAAAGCATGTAGCTGGAACAGCTGCTTCACTTCTGAATGAACAGACAGCTCTGAGCTGTTCCAAAAACATGCTGTGTCTTTAAAAGATGGTTTCAGTGCTGAGTCCAAGAAGACTTCATGGCAGGGAGTTAAAAAAAAAAAAAAAAGACATTAACACTTCATAAAAAGTGACAAAACTCAATACATTGGTACAAAACATTCACTATTTCTCACTGCATTAAGAACAGTTCCTGTCAAAATTCAGTACCAGAGCTTACATGTTGTTGCATTTTGGATTAGTCCTACTGGATAGAAGGAAGAACAAAACTCTACATTTTCAGACTGTTAACATTAATATGTTTAAACACTTCAGCACACACCATCTCTAACTGCTGGAAGATTCAATCGCTAAATGATGATGACATTGCTGGTATGTAAGACTTCCTTCAAAACAGGCATAGACCCGCCTTCCCCACAACATGCCATCACAGACACACATCACAGTGTATCCCACAGCTCTGGCTGGCTCAGTCCCTCACTGCCTCATGCTGTAGCACATGCTGATGCTGAAGCCTATCTCTTGGGTGACCTGAACAAAGCAGTAGGTTAAATTCAGTCAGTAGAATGGTTGATCACTGCCTAAAAATCTAGGCAGCTAAGCATTTAACATAACAAAACATATCAGGGCCTGCACACTTAAGAAAGACATGGAAGCACCATTGAGAAAGAAGTGGAAGCACCATTGACTTCGGTCCTTGAGAAGAACACTGGAAGTGACCTAAGGTCCAAGCATATTCACATGGCTAAGCTGAGAACACCATCCAGCATCAGCACGTGTTTGAGATCACAGCAGTCACTAACTCCAGATGAGACCTTCAGCTTACACTGTAGTCATAGCTCAGGCTTTCATTCAGTTGCTTCCCTGAAATAAATATGTCTTGCACCCACAACTGTGAGCGCATCCACTGTAATGAAAGTCTCAATTACGGGAAAAACATATCCTGGAATACCTACACTTGCAAAAATTAAAATAAAAGCAGCAGTTGTATTTAGGTCCTTCTGTAGAAAATAAGCTGGAATGAGAAAGACTATCTTCTACCTCTTATACAGTGACAGGGAAAGGTTTCCAACTGTTTTGCCAGTAGACGAATGTCGGCACAAGAAACAGAGACCCAATGTTAAAAAACAAGTGCATAAATTTACTATAGTGGTAAATAGCAAAGAATTACAAAAGGATAAGCTTAGCAATGCACCTAATCATTACTACAAGGAGTGTCTACAGTGATTAAGAAAAATACATCACCAGTTACCCTAATACATCACCATCATCATCCAGACCCGCACGTCAGCTGGGAACACCCAATCACAGCGAAGGGCTGGAGAACCACTCCCGGTAACTGGGAAATCGTATGCAGTGCATCCACTCATAAGTGAGGGCTCCATCTTTGCTGTGAAAGGGTCCAGCTTTTAAATTGTTAAACAAACAAGCTTACATCACTTATTTAGTGAGGTAAATATCTGGCTCTCTTTTCTCCTTCGGTTTCACCTAAAGCCTGGCCAGGGCTCAGAGGAAAATCAAGGGAGTCAGTTTGGACCAACTACTGTTGAATGGGGCCAACCGTCTACATCCTCAGCCTTGACTAGTTTCTAAATACAGAACGATGGATACATTTATATCTTAAATTTGGACCACCTACTGTCAAACAAAGCCAGGTGTCTACTTCCATGGCCTTGACCAGTGTCTAAATACAGAAAGACAGATACATTCATATCTCGTTAATGAACAGATACAAATCTTCACTAATAAGCGGATACCAATATATCTTACTAACAAGCATACATGTTTACACAGGTGTAGCCTTATCATAATATGTATTTTACTAATGATTATACAGAATTTTGGCTAATAAGCAGATACGTGGCTAAATAATAACATTAGGTTGGAAGGTCTTGCTTTATGGTGAACTTGCCACCGGCTGCCACAAGAGAGGAGCCCCAAAGAGAAGATACAAGGACTCCCTGAAACAACATCTCAGCCTTGGCCATACTGATCACCATAACTGGTCTACTCTGGCCTCCAATAGGGAGGTCTGGAGACACACCATCTATAACGCTGCTGATGCCTTTGAGAAAGCACGCAGGATCACCCTTGAGGGGAAAAGACAACGCAGAAAGAATCGTGTCTTGCAGAATATACCACCTAAGGAGTCTTTCTGCTGTGCCTTTTGCAACCGGACTTGTCTGTCTCGTATTGGCCTTTTTAGCCACCAACGTGCTTGCAACAAACATGGGTAGAGCCTTTTCCAAATCTTCGTTTGCGAAGCCCAGCCATGATGATGATGAGGTTGGAAGGTTCATCTAGAGGTCGACTCTGGCTCAGAGCCTGTTTTCAGGCCTTAGCACTTCACCAACCTAGTGATGCAGTGGCAAATAATACAACAGTTACAGAACCTCACTGTCTTTTGGTCACTTTTCCCTCCCTTTCTGATCACTTTTGAATCCAGCAGCAAATTTTATCCAGGTATGGCAGGCCAAT